CCCCAAAACCCCAAAACCCCAAAACCCCAAAACCCCAAAACCCCAAAACCCCAAAACCCCGAGATTTTAGTTAAAGATTGAAACATTATTAAAAAAGAAATATGGAGCTCCTCTCTCATATTTTAAAGGAAGCAAAATGTGATGATCTAAAGGAAATTCTTTCAAGGGATACAAAACTCCAAGTAATAGACTTACATGGTATATCTCAAGTTCATTCCCAAACCCAGTCAGAGTGTCTGAATTTGACTCTGTGGGATGGATTTGATGAAATTCAGGCCAAAGTAGTCACAGATATTCTGAATAGTAAGTTCACACAAATCAGTATCTCCATACTGTAATCGGAGCACAAATCTTTCCTAAAATACATATTAAGATAATTTTTGTGAAAAAATGTTAGCTGATTACAGAAAATTTTACCCAAAAATTGTTGCGGAATTTTAATGAATTACAGTAAATTTTGATAACTTCTTAATAACCTCACCTTTTCTTGCTGAAATCAATTCTAGGGATGACTCAGACAATCGAGTTATACTGAATTTTGAGCTTCAACTCTTGTTGATTCCTAAAGCATAAATCCAATAACGAAAAGATCTTAATGGTAGGATCAGATATCAAGATAATCAAGAAATGTTCAGAGAAGATCCTCCCCCAAGCTGAAGTCTCACTTGTAAAGGAAGACCCAGACGCTTCTGCCATCAAAGTCTTGGCTAATGTAGGTGAGTTCTTCATAGATCCGACTCCTTGCAAGGAATGTGAGACAGAGATTGATTTCTCTGACCTTGAAGAGGACTCTGATAGTCATGACTACCTTCCTATTAGTAAGATCAGTATCTGTCATAACTACCAGAGAAAAGACTGGAAGATAAAAGCGAAGGTAGTCAATATTTTCCCAATCAAAAGGTTCAAAAGCCGCTTTGACAACAGGATTTGTAATGTCCTCAACATTATTTTAGCTGATTATTACACTGGTGAAGAAATAGAAGGCACTTTCTATGATCACCTCATTGAAAAGTTCTTTAATGTTGAGGAAGGTGAGGTTAAAGCATCGAAAAATCCTGACCATATTGTTGTAAACCAAGTGTATATTATCTCTGGCTGCAAAATTTTAGATAACAAGAATACAAGTACTGTGGATCATAAGCGTAAACTAAATTTTAAGGAGGATTCCTTAGTAAAAAGATGGTTTCCAGTGAACAGGAAAGCTCTGAGGAAGCTTAAGAAGGCAAACTTTGTGTACAACTGACAACTTGTGAGTAAAGTTGCACAAACTGCTGATGTGATAGGAGTTGTTTCAAATAAGATAAATATATTCCATAAGACCTCATCGAAGTCCCTCAACTCTATTGTCGCCTTCTACTTGCTGATATTTAAGAATTCCAAGCAAGAGCATCTTGAAAGAGTGATTCTCAAGATTTGAGACAACAAAGCATCGATTCTTGATTTTCAGCAGGGTGATATTATTGCCATTTTTAACTGAAAAGTTAAGAAAGCCAGCATGGTCTATCTGGAATCTCATAGTATTGAAGACATTTTAATGCACGAAAACCTCAATAATTTTGAATTGAAAGAGCAACTAGGTATTGCTTATGAAAGCTTCCAGGTGAACTTAGTCCTAGATGAGATCTCCAACCAGGTAGATCATCCTCCCACTGGCGAAGATTTTAAAACAAATGAGCCAACAGTGAAATGTCAGGTGATAATTCCTTCTGAGAATTACGACAAAGATCACCTATTGTTCATACAGAAATGTATGAGTTGTGGGAATTATCAAGATATTCTTGAAGGGGACTTTATCCATAAGACTGAATACTGAAACTCATGTAACACAGACAGGGAGTTCTGTCTAGAGTACAACATCCAGTGCCAGATAGTCCTTGAGAGCGGGACAACCTATCAATGTGTTATGAGGAACCTCTGAGCTCTTGAGATTCTTCCTCGGCCAGCATATAGACTTTACAGGATGGAAGATACCCTCCGAAAAGAATTATTAGATACTTGTACTAAGTGATTCTGCGAGATGGATGATTTTTATGAGCCAGACTGCAAGCACGATAACTTCTGTAATGTTATACTAGAGGATTCTTGGGCGATCCAATTAGCTGGGAGTCAGCAGTCGCAGCTCTGTTTTCATGAGCAAGAAGGCAAGACTTGATATGAAATCTTTCAAATCTTATTTTTAAAATAAATCAATTTGAAAAATCTTTCTGGGGTTTTGGGGTTTTGGGGTTTTGGGGTTTTGGGG